AAGTACTACACATATTGGCTAACAAGATCCCAACCGTAGGCTATCAGTCTGCCGTGTTCGGGCAATATTCACCATTCCTATACGCTATGAAGATCCTACTTCCCTTGTAGACCCTCCAGAATATCTCGCATATGTGGAGTGGTTCTCCAACTTCACGCAGCCAGATCCCCACCATGGCATGTACAAGGTGACGCTATGACCAATGCTGATGGAACGCAGACTGGTGCTGTTATTGCAGTGGAGAGCTCCGCCGAAGTGTGCATTTGTATCCATGCTTCAGAGCTGTTGCGCCGCGTGAGTGGTCGAGCAGCAACATACTTGATGTATCCAAGAAGTTTTGGGTTAGTCCCTTCACCGACAGACATATTTATGGAACAGTAATATAATGTCAAATGTTATAATTGGTCAATTTGAGGGGGGGGGGGGCTCTATGTTTACACTACAACGCAGCATCAGGAGGAGCTATCGGTACAAGAGCAATCTGCAAAAAATTTTCTGATGGCATAGGTAGCAACCTAAGCCCAACTCGCCTCAAATACTCTACACGCGCTGCTTCTTGAATCTCGTATTCTGTCTTTCCGATGGGCTCTAAAGCCGGCTTGAGCTTCCGGTACACCTGTCGAGTACCGGGATACATCTTGGATGGATGGACATGCAGTACGAGAGGCCGATTGATGCGAAAGGGCGGTGAGTCAAGCTGCCGACTGCCCTCGAGTGCTTGGGTGCCTGAGCTTGAAACATTTGCTAGGAATGTGGGACTTGGAGTTGAAGGTGCTGACACCTTTGCAAAACTTCTCAGCTCGTGCTTTGCAAGGGCAGTTTGGTCTGAGTTTGGTTCTAGAGTCGTCTCTAAAGGTGAGCGTGAAGGAGTCGGAGAGTGTTCTATTATAGTGTGAAAGCGTTAGTAATATGTATGCTAAGTGAACAGCAAGTGTACGCACTGTTGATTGCTCCGTCGTCACTGCCGGACGATGTCTGCTGCTCCGTATCTTTGCCTCGCTCTCTCAATCCCACTCCCTCATCCAGAGGACTGGCTGACATGAAGCCGTTGGGCCCTGGGCCCTCAAGAAAGCCGTTGATATATTGTGAGTCAGTTGTCTGCGAGTCAAGGGCCCCACCAGCTTGGAAGAAGCTTTGAGTGGGACAGAAGAGCGTAAGAACAGCCTGGTCTGGCCCAGGGAAGGAGAAAGAAGCAAGAGCATACCTTCTCATTCTTTGAGTATCATGTGAAGACCGTTGTCGAAGCTTGCGTTTACCAGAGAAGACATGTGATGCTTGCGGGGATGAATCCGGAGACGAGTCAGTGTGGATGGTAACAACTGATTTCGTGCGGTCGACAGGCATTGTGAGGGCGATAGAGAAGTGGATGATAGATGTCTAAATTGAAAGCGCATGCAAGCGCACTCTCCGCATGTCGCCGAGCAAGGGGGGTGCAGTGGCTAGGTGGTGGTTAGAATAACTAGGACACTTAGAACAGGAGCTCGCGCGCATCGCCTTCGTGGCGGCAAACCCTAACTTGATATAGCAGCCTGATTAGGAACCTTAGGTGGATTGTCGGTCTCTTAGGATACTTATACTCTAAGTTACTACTAATTAGCTCCAGGGATTTTCCCTGATGAAAAGAATGGAGATAATAATGACACGTATGGAAGTACAGCTAGCAAATAAGATGGAACATCAAGATGAGGCCAAGTGGGAGTGGAAGTTGGCTGCCGATTCACTGGTGAGAACAAGTCAGCTGATTTATTGTGCTCTCAATGATGGTATTGTTAGGCAATTTTCGAATCAAAGCACCAGAACAACGGGGACCTAAGCTCAAAGGACATGGAGAAGCTCACTAAGCTGCAGTCCATGGTAGCTGACAAACATGCCAAATATCAAGATAAAGTCAGGATTGCTAACTCCTATAGGAACCAATTGGTGAGCATTCCTTAGGGATATGAAGCCTGCTGTGGCTGACGAATACCCTCAGCAAGATAAGCAGAGAGAAATCGGCTGGCCAGCGGATCTAGACTTTTTCCAGCTGTCGCAAACGATCAGAGCCGGCGGATCAGGTTCAGCCGCAGCGTCAGCGGATGCAAATGCCTCAATGACGCCAGTTAGGACGCAGGCCCAAAACAGCGTACAGTCTTTTGTCTCTCGTGCAGTGCTTCCGTTGTCGTCAGAAGCTGAGAGGAGCCAAGGAGAGCTGGACAGGTTGCCTTACCTCGACAGTGACAGCAGCCCGGACAGCTCAGTATGTGCCGAAGCCCTTCGCTCCCTTGTTCTGTCAGCTGAGAATGAATAGCCTACACCAGGGGCTTGCAGAGATCTGTCTAGCGAAAGAGGTGCGACGTCGACAAGCACAAGCACCACAGCAGTGGTGTTGGGCCTTAGGCCAAAGTCCGGGCTTCGTATGTCATTCGGCCCCAAGCCACTGCGAGCCGTGAGGGGACAGAGCAAGGTTCTTGCGGAATTAGATAAGCTGGGCAATCAAGGGCTGAAGATGGTACTCTGGGTTCTGCAAACTCATGGTATATGTAATGATTGAGTCATCGACAGACGGCAGAGGGCAAAGCAGACAAGGAAGGGGCAACTGCAGAGGCTGAGACCTCGGACAAGACAATCTTCTCAAAGGTAAGTCCAATGATCTGGACTCATGAATCGGGCCTGATCTCGTCTTCCTGCGGTCCAGCGGCCTTGAAGTCCCTGACCGCCTTCAGCCCCTCATCGTCACTTCTGCCTTCGAGTCCTCCGAAGTCATTCTCCGATGCATTCTCGAGTCTGGCATTAGCACAGGCACAGGACCTGACTTTGTCAGCTGACTGGGTAGGTAAAGGGTGAATCTCAGGTCTGGGTATCTGCTTACACTTGTACACAGGCCATGTCTACTGTTCTCGCTGATGGGTCATCAATTGGAGATGTGACCGATATGGAGAGAGACAACTTGGAGGACCTCTACTATCTGAACGCGAGTGACATCGCCAAAAGGTCCACATCAGGGCCCAGTCAAGCAGCAAGCAACAGAGTCTCTGGTCGGCCTGATGAGAACAACGCGGAAATGCCTAGGACACCACATGCAAAGATCTCGGCAAAGGGGAAAGAAGCCAGGACTTCCCACCAATCTTTCCTTGATAGCATACAAGAAGTCCTGGGAAAGAAGACTGTAAGTCTCAGGCTTGTTAGCGGAAATCTGGAGTTGCGCTGACATTTGCTACAGCCTGACTTTGAGCATAGCAGCTTTTTAGATTCTGATGTGGCCAGATTCTTAAAGTGCAGGGCCTCCAGTGTCGAGGAGGAACAGGCAGCCAAATGGTGCTGCAATGAGGTATGTCCATCTGATTTTTTTAAGGACTGTGATTATAGACGTGCTAATATGCCTTCATTAATGTTAAGAACAAGGAACGTGATGACGATGTCGAGGGCAACGAAAGCAAGAACAGCGGCAATGGCGATGGCAACGGCGACAAATGTGGCAATGACAGCAACGACAGCGACAAAGGCGGTAACGAGCGTGAAAAACCCAGAAAAGATGGGGACACGACTGAAAAGTCTTGGAGCCCCGGGACTGTTGGCAATCCGATCGTCATGGACAACAGAGAGATTGTATATATTGTTTATTGATCAAAGGTGAGTAGAATTGTGTTCAATCTAATCTACAGTACAGCTGACTTGTTGTGTGCACTAGACAAACGAGAATCCAGAGGTTTACAAGATTAAGACAAC